ATATATAATTTATAGAACTCTCCTTTAGGGATATATCTTTTAATTCCCTGTGAATTCAATATTAAAGCAAAATTGACATTGTCCAATGAGGACAGAGCAATATTCAATATATATGCAAAGAACTGTGCATATTTTAATAAATAAGATATACGGCAATACAGAAACAACGACATCTTTATCTTATAGCTGTCTTTATAACAATCAATTTATAATTTGAAAAACTCACCATCTAAAAAATAAATAAAGTTTCACAGAGAAACAAATCAGGTATTACAAAACGACGAAGTTCACTTGGATTAATTTAGGCCGGCCAAGCAGTACCAAAATTAGAACTTCCAATTTCAGTGATAAAAATATTATATTTCCTTACATTTCCTTAAACTCAATATATAATAGAGCCTTTCGATAATTACGTCACAACATTACCGTTTTAAATGGATTTAAAGTTTTAGATGGATTTAAAGTTTTACTCTCACAAGCTACGTGGAAAGATGCAAAACATCCTTCTTCAAAACATGCATGAAAAATAATTTTTAATTTTGACCAATAAATGTGGAAATAAGTCGTAACATTAAAACGAGACTACCAGGCAACGACCAGCAGCCTCGTTCTTGTGTTACGGTTTATTTTCACACTTGTTTGCCAAAAAGAAGAATTGTTTTTCATGCATGTCTTGAAGAAGGATGTTTTGCATCTTTCGACATAGCTTGTGAGAGTAAAACTTGAAATACATCTCATTTAAGTTGGTTCTAAATTTAAAACGGTAATGTTGGGATTGGTAAAACGGTAATGTTGGGATGTAATTATCGAAAGGGTCTATTGGTTTCCCCCTTTTAACGTTAAGGCGGAAAAAATAAAGGCCTGACATTCAGGTTAGTTAACTAAGGGAAAAAACATTGGTTTTAATACACCCTAGTTTTACAACAGTTAAGCACCCTGTTACCGAAAGATAACACAAAAACGCACAAAACAGTAAATTAAGAACAAAAACGTGACAAATATGCGAATTTGTCAACATTGGTGTTACTGCATCATTGTTTTACAGCAGTTAGGGCACCCTGTTGCCACAATAAGACACAAAAACGCACAAAACAAACACATTAACAACAAAAACGTGTTAAATATGTGAATTTGTCGACATTGGTGTTACTACATCATAGTTTTACAGCACTTAGGCACCCTGTTACCAGAAGATGGTACAAATACGCACAAAACAGTAAATTGGGAACAAAAACGTCACAAATATGCGAATTTGTCAACATTGGTGTTACTACACCATAGTTTTACAGCACTTAGGCACCCTGTTACCAGATGATGGTACAAATACGCACAAAACAGTAAATTAGGAACAAAAACGTGACAAATATGCGAATTTGTCAACATTGGTGTTATTACACCATAGTTTTACAGCAGTTAAGCACCCTGTTACCAGAAGATGGTACAAATACGCACAAAACAGTAAATTGGGAACAAAAACGTCACAAATATGCGAATTTGTCAACATTGGTGTTACTACACCATAGTTTTACAGCACTTAGGCACCCTGTTACCACAAGATGACACAGAAACGCACAAAACAGTAAATTAAGAACAAAAACGTGACAAATATGCGAATTTGTCAACAGTGGTGTTACTACACCATAGTTTTACAGCAGTTAAGCACCCTGTTACCACAAGATGACACAGAAACGCACAAAACAGTAAATTGGGAACAAAAACGTCACAAATATGCGAATTTGTCAACATTGGTGTTACTACACCATAGTTTTACAGCAGTTAAGCACCCTGTTACCACAAAATGGTACAAATACGCACAAAACAGTAAATTAGGAACAAAAACGTGACAAATGTGCGATTTGTCGACATTGGTGTTACTACACCTAGTTTTACAGCAGTTAAGCACCCTGTTACCACAAGATGACACAAAAACGCACAAAACAGTAAATTGGGAACAAAAACGTCACAAATATGCGAATTTGTCAACATTGGTGTTACTACACCATAGTTTTACAGCAGTTAAGCACCCTGTTACCACAAAATGGTACAAATACGCACAAAACAGTAAATTAGGAACAAAAACGTGACAAATGTGCGATTTGTCGACATTGGTGTTACTACACCTAGTTTTACAGCAGTTAAGCACCCTGTTACCACAAGATGACACAAAAACGCACAAAACAGTAAATTGGGAACAAAAACGTCACAAATATGCGAATTTGTCAACATTGGTGTTACTACACCATAGTTTTACAGCACTTAGGCACCCTGTTACCAGAAGATGGTACAAATACGCACAAAACAGTAAATTAGGAACAAAAACGTGACAAATATGCGAATTTGTCAACATTGGTGTTATTACACCATAGTTTTACAGCAGTTAAGCACCCTGTTACCAGAAGATGGTACAAATACGCACAAAACAGTAAATTGGGAACAAAAACGTCACAAATATGCGAATTTGTCAACATTGGTGTTACTACACCATAGTTTTACAGCACTTAGGCACCCTGTTACCAGAAGATGGTACAAATACGCACAAAACAGTAAATTAAGAACAAAAACGTGACAAATATGCGAATTTGTCAACAGTGGTATTACACCATTTTACAGCACTTAGGCACCCTGTTACCAGAAGATGGTACAAATACGCACAAAACAGTAAATTAAGAACAAAAACGTGACAAATATGCGAATTTGTCAACATTGGTGTTACTACACCATAGTTTTACAACAGTTAAGCACCCTGTTACCACAAGATAACACAAAAACGCACAAAACAGTAAATTAAGAACAAAAACGTGACAAATATGCGAATTTGTCAACAGTGGTGTTATTACACCATAGTTTTACAGCAGTTAAGCACCCTGTTACCACAAGATGACACAGAAACGCACAAAACAGTAAATTAGGAACAAAAACGTGTTAAATATGCGAATTTGTCAACATTGGTGTTACTACACCATAGTTTTACAGCACTTAGGCACCCTGTTACCAGAAGATGGTACAAATACGCACAAAACAGTAAATTGGGAACAAAAACGTCACAAATATGCGAATTTGTCAACATTGGTGTTACTACACCATAGTTTTACAACAGTTAAGCACCCTGTTACCACAAGATAACACAAAAACGCACAAAACAGTAAATTAAGAACAAAAACGTGACAAATATGCGAATTTGTCAACAGTGGTGTTACTACACCATAGTTTTACAGCAGTTAAGCACCCTGTTACCACAAGATGACACAGAAACGCACAAAACAGTAAATTAAGAACAAAAACGTGACAAATATGCGAATTTGTCGACATTAGTGTTAATACACCCAAGTTTTACAGCAGTTACACACACTTTTAACACACAATGGCAAAAAACGCACAAAACAATCAAATTAACAACAAAAACGTGTTAAATATGCGAATTTGTCAACATTGGTGTTACTGCATCATGTTTTACAGCAGCAGTTAGGGCACCCTGTTGCCACAATAAGACACAAAAACGCACAAAACAAACACATTAACAACAAAAACGTGTTAAATATGTGAATTTGTCGACATTGGTGTTACTACATCATAGTTTTACAGCACTTAGGCACCCTGTTACCAGAAGATGGTACAAATACGCACAAAACAGTAAATTGGGAACAAAAACGTCACAAATATGCGAATTTGTCAACATTGGTGTTACTACACCATAGTTTTACAGCAGTTAAGCACCCTGTTACCACAAGATGGTACAAATACGCACAAAACAGTAAATTAGGAACAAAAACGTGACAAATATGCGATTTTGTCGACATTAGTGTTAATACACCCAAGTTTTACAGCAGTTACACACACTTTTAACACACAATGGCAAAAAACGCACAAAACAATCAAATTAACAACAAAAACGTGTTAAATATGCGAATTTGTCAACATTGGTGTTACTGCATCATTGTTTTACAGCAGTTAGGGCACCCTGTTGCCACAATAAGACACAAAACGCACAAAACAAACACATTAACAACAAAAACGTGTTAAATATGTGAATTTGTCGACATTGGTGTTACTACATCATAGTTTTACAGCACTTAGGCACCCTGTTACCAGAAGATGGTACAAATACGCACAAAACAGTAAATTGGGAACAAAAACGTCACAAATATGCGAATTTGTCAACATTGGTGTTACTACACCATAGTTTTACAGCAGTTAAGCACCCTGTTACCACAAGATGGTACAAATACGCACAAAACAGTAAATTAGGAACAAAAACGTGACAAATATGCGATTTTGTCGACATTAGTGTTAATACACCCAAGTTTTACAGCAGTTACACACACTTTTAACACACAATGGCAAAAAACGCACAAAACAATCAAATTAACAACAAAAACGTGTTAAATATGCGAATTTGTCAACATTGGTGTTACTGCATCATTGTTTTACAGCAGTTAGGGCACCCTGTTGCCACAATAAGACACAAAAACGCACAAAACAAACACATTAACAACAAAAACGTGTTAAATATGTGAATTTGTCGACATTGGTGTTACTACATCATAGTTTTACAGCACTTAGGCACCCTGTTACCAGAAGATGGTACAAATACGCACAAAACAGTAAATTAAGAACAAAAACGTGACAAATATGCGAATTTGTCAACAGTGGTGTTACTACACCATAGTTTTACAGCAGTTAAGCACCCTGTTACCACAAAATGGTACAAATACGCACAAAACAGTAAATTAGGAACAAAAACGTGACAAATGTGCGATTTTGTCGACATTGGTGTTACTACACCCTAGTTTTACAGCAGTTAAGCACCCTGTTACCACAAGATGACACAAAAACGCACAAAACAGCCAAATTAGTATACTTTCATATACCTTTAGTTAGCAATATATATAGAACTTGACATAAGTAAATCCTCATATCTGTTTATAATTTCCACGGCCAAAAAATTGTTGCCTTGACAAAGATATTATATTTTAATAAGCAAAATAAGTAATATACGACTTCAAAAGGGTATTGTTCCAGGACGCCCTTAACTTTACGAAACAAAGTTGATTTTGTACAGAATTCAGAAGTTGTGTTTAAATAATATAACGACTTTTTAGGATTTAAAGCGAAGAAAATAACTTTACGAATTATAACATTTTACAACAAGCACGAATAATTAGGGACGTATCGACCATCTTAGGTGTCAAACTCCCATTCGGAATAGATACTCTCATTGTCGTTATCAGTGTCACTGTCGGTTTCACTATCCATATCAAAATTTGTATCTCTTTCCAGCTCATCCTCCACATCTTCATAGGATTGCTTAGTATTGTCATTGTGCGACTCAATTATGTCCTGGAATCCAGACAATTGTAAACCGAGAACTGGCAAGAAAGATTGGATTCCAAGCCTTAATTGTTGCATGGCAAAGTTAATTCCTTCGTTAACCAAGGCAAGCTTTCCTCTGACAATGGTCCTTTTGACTGAGCTTGTAGAATAGGTTTTTGCCTAAAATAAAAAGATTTCAATATACGTTACATAAAAAGCAATCGCATAGCTTACAGATGTGGCTTACAGAAATGTCGAAAAGGAAATTGCGGACCTAAATAACTTTTAAATTATCGCATCTTCGCATTAGATACACACAATTAACACCCAATAGACCTTCCAAGAGCTTACATAATGGCCAAACAATAAAAAATGTGCGTCCATGAGAAGGTATGTACGGCGTAGGTTTTTAGCTTTTTGATACACCATGCATGTAATGCAGTATAATTCCAACCATAACATTTTGCTCGTATACAAGAAACTTCGTGCTTCGTGAAGATGGTTACAATATGGTAGCTGAAATGTTCACTGCATGATTCAGGATATGGGCTATCCACAAATATGCATAAATTGTACTTCATCACCCTTTAAACCTACAAAGTAATTACCGCCGAAAAACATACCACACACACAGCACTTTCCACCGCAAGAACAGGCTGTTCACCACCACATTGGCTGCGACTTTTACCTATATGTTCGAAAATTAAAAATAATTTTAAGCCTGGTTTTCAGATGTCAAGGGCCACCGACACAATAACCATCGTCAAAGAATTACGTTATATGAAAACCAGCCTTTACACCTGCAATAAAAATTTGGATCTGTTGCATTTAGCCGAATAGACTGCAGTTCAGTCAAGGTTATATTGCTTATGTTCTTTGACGCGCAGCTCACAGAGTTTAAAAACATAATTTACATTTTTCCAATAAGGACAAAAGCTTTTTGCAATCGATCGCTGAAAACATACTCTATATTTCACAATTCTAAAAGTGACCGGGAAAATTACCTTGCAGCAGGTTTTCCAATTTTGCAAGTTCGCTATAAAGTGCCGGAAGGCATTTCTTGGTGTAATATTCAAGGTATTGGAACATTTCCTTTTTAGTAACTTCGATTTCCTCCTGAAACCGTTGAATTTCCATCAACTTATCCACCACAGATCGTCTCGTTACCAAAGGCACTATTGTATGAAAGGCACAATATATTCATATATAATGTACTACGCGTCCGGCAATTTATAATTATGTACGTACAAGTTCTATTTGCAAGCCTGGCTCAGTCTGTATACGAGAAACAGTAGCTACTCACACTCATCAACTGGCTCGTTCCGAGAATTCCATGGAAACTTTCCATTTAAAATTTCTTCTATGTTGCTTAGCGGTTCGTCTGCAATTCGATTATAATTTGAAATCAAAGAATGGATACTCTCTTTCTCTTTGCTGATCTTTCTCCTTAACTTATTTCGTTGCTTCGAAGAATCTTGAAGAAAATAATATTTGGTTAAAATGTTACCTTCCCTTTATCCCGCATGTGGAGGCTAATTTTCCGCGGTTTCGTTTTTTATGGGTGTTTTACTCGCACGGAAACGTTGGCTTTAAATGTTACTACTGAAATAAAGGAAGAGACACTGAAAATGTAGCTATTAAATGTAGAACCACCTGCAAGTTTTGCAATGTTAAATGCCAGATGAGAGATCGCGTTATGATGGAATTCCATATTGTATCTCAAATATTCCAAAGATTTATTTTTTAAAACACCTTCACCAAAGGAATAATTGCGACAGATCTTGGGCTGAAACTGTTTAGATTTTTCCTTATAAATCTTTTCAGCAACGTCAAACAAGGCCTTCTCTTTTGGCGTTAACACATCTAATGTGAGCAAATGACATATGTATTTCATTTCCTCCGGAGTTATGGAATATCTTTTATTTCTCGATTTTTCATCCACTGACATAAATTTGAAAGAGAAAAAAGAAACACGTCGTCATTGCACGAAAAAATTACACCAAGACATCGCATTCTGAGAAGAGCATACCTAACGTTTTTAGTTTTATTATTTATAATAATAGATTCGCCACAGTATCATGTACTGCATGTAAACTGAACAAAACTACACAAAATTCTATACGTACGTTTAGCAGCGTCAAATATATCTTCTTTCCATTTCTGTAATGTTGTTGGATCACACTCAAGTTTCTCTGACATGCTTTCTAATTCTTTCTGCATGATGGCGGTTTTATCTTTAGCCTAGAACCATGCATATAAAAGTACAGAACACATTATTATTTTTCCAAGAGAAGATTATACATTTCAGTACTCCCCTTTCCGTGCATGGGAAATTTGCATTGCATCTACATATTTTTCAATCCTCCACGCTTTAAATTTCTACCCACACCTTTTTTTTTAATAAATTTGTTTCTGTCTTATTTTTTGACGAAAACTACCGAAACGGATTTGGCAAAGTATTTGTAGCTATGTTATGTGACAAGGGGGGATTTCGTTTTAAACTATTCGGCATATTTGCTTACACTTTTTAGGCTAAGCCAATCAGAATGCCTAAATTTTTAATACATCATGTAAAATGATGATTATTCTGATTGGGTTACTGAAAATGTAAACAAACTTACTGATTGGTCTAAAACGAAATTTCCCTTGTTATGGTTTCCCTTGTTATGGTATAGTTACTATTACTATTAGGTAAAAAATAGAAAAATTAATAACTTTTGTATATCTTTTCGCAAGAATACTTGACAGTTTGGTTATTTTTCTTTTATTCCACTCCAGTGCATGTTCAGTCAGCAATTCCTCTCGTCCTATGTATGCATACATCAGAATTAAACGTTTAACTGGTTTGATAATTTTATTGCACATGCTTACCTTCAGGTAACATATGCTTGGTAGTGCACCCTAACCGCGAGAAATGACTGTTAATCTGTTCTACTTCCTCTCCTGTTGTTGCAGAAGCGCCATCTTGCCATCGCCCTCCCCAAATAACCTGCAAAAAAGATTACACAATGGACACTGCACTTGACTGCACACTTGCCACGTACGAAATATAATAAGCACAAGGAAATTTACCTGGCAATACCAAGCATGTGCTTTGGCATGCATTACGGAAAGAGCAGGTTTCATCTTTTGAGATGTGGTTACATCATTTTTACACAGCCAAGGCCAATACTTGCAGATGACATCATACCAGAAGAATTGTGTTGTACGACGAAGGTAATATTCCTTTTGCATATAATGTGCATAGCCATACACTTCTCCGTGCTTCATGCTAACTGCATGCTGGGCAACACTGTGACGACAGCCAGCAATTTCTAGCCCAGTTTCATCAACAATTTTCTTTTTCTTCAAAGTATTTCCAGCAGCATGCCAAATAGAATCGCCACACTTAGAATCATCTGTGACCTAGGGTAAAGTATAGCCGAATTGAAACAGCTCGATTTTAGATTATTTTTATACGTACAGTAGATATATACAGTAGAAATATTTCCATTCACGAAAAGAGCTACCAAATGTTTTGCTGTTAATTGTTCCCATCTATATAAAAGATAGAGAAAGATACATCAAACTAATATCTGTACAACTATTTAACTACTGAGGCAATTAGCAAACATAATCATAAAAGAACAGGATTCCATTTTTTGCATGAAGCGATACATTGAAGTTGATACTTAGAAGTTGGTTTAAACGTACCCGCCCTTTTTGTATCGAAAACATTTCTAGTGATTTCACAAAACTATTTTGAGAAATTCCAGGAACAATCTTCTGTAAATTATCCCAGAAATGAAAGAGATCTTGGTGAAATACATATGTCATGTCACGAATAGTTCCAGGCCAAAACCCCAGCTGTATTAAAACATGGGGACTTGTTGATGAAATAACATTGTCACATTGTTTACATTCATATTTTGTGTGACTAATGTCGAATCTACCTGAAGATATAATAATAAATATTTAACCAATTAGCACAAAAATATAAGTTTTGAGTTCCATGATAGAGATCAACATTTGGCCTATAAAGCCTATCTGAATAGCATCATCTGGTTTGAATCTTGCAGGAGCTAGGTTCAGCCTACATAATGTATCATTTATAGCTACAGTATAAAACTATAGAATCTATTTCAGAAAGACAATGTTTTTGTGAATAAAAAAGACAACTAAAATAGCATACCTTTCAATGTTACAGCAATGCAACCCATACCCTTCTCATCATATAAAATATTGCAAGGAAATAGGCATGTGGGACAAATAACATCACCAAATGGAAGGGACCGTTCTAAAAAATACATAGACAATTCATATATTTTCAGAAACTGTTTGAAGAACCCTCTAAAAATGGCAGAACTTTCCTACCAAGGGAAAACATTATCTCACACCTAGAGTTTCACAAAGATGCTGAGATAATACAAAGATAATACTGACTGGTCAATTTTTTTTACAAATTTCATGTGACAAATATGTTTCTGTGTTTCTTTATTTGAAAAAGACCTAATAAAATTTTTTATGAGAAAATTTGCCAATGAATATTTACTCATGTAAAATGAACTTTAGGTTTGACATAAATGCTAAATAGATCATGCTAAATTTCATATTTAAAGAGCATCTTGAGAGTATCACGGTCACAATGCACCTTTTGACACAAGGTATAAGTTACATCTTTTTAGCCATGCTATAATATTTACCAACAGTAATCCATTCCAGTTTGCTGTTAATTGAGGCTGTTGGAGGAATAGGTTCATGAAAACCATTCAAAATTGCATCTCGATCATGAAATGGATGGTTCTTATGGTTCTCCTCATCACAATCCCCACAGACATATCTATGTGAAATGCAGTCTTGACATCCAATAACTGCCATGGCATCTTTACAGCTTTCGCATAACAATTCATCAAAAATGCCAATGGAAAATTTAGTTTGCAGCAAAACTTCGATTAAACTACTTCTGACTTCCTCCCAGCTTTCATAAAGGGAATTTTGTCTTTCATGCCAGGTTCGTTTCTTTTGCTGACCACCACATTTCCAGTTACATAATAATCCTTTTGCTTCTTCAAGGATATCATTCATTGTCACATCTAAACAAAATCGATGATACTGCTTTAAAAATGAGCTGCTAGGTAGAATGCCACAAAATCATTGTACACCATATTACACCATTAAGTTTAATATACATTCGATAAACCAAGTTTTGTAAAGTAGCAGGGTCTTTAAATTCCATATATAAATGCATAAACAGTATCCATATTGGAAAGTTTGCAATATGTGTGAATGATGAGTCACAATCTTCCCTGCACACAGCCAATCTAGCAATGTGGCAGCATGTGTATAATGTCTAGTCAGTAGTCACAGAGGACACAAAGCTATACGAACGTTGTTTAGATAATAAATATTGACTTTTAGCACATCATATTTTACAATAGCGGTTCAAAATGTCAACAAAGCGGATTAAAAACTTCACAGCATTTTTAGCTGTTGTAATTGTACATATTTATATTAGATCCATACCCTCTACAGCGTTTGTCGTTACATCCATATCTGATTCACGATCCAATAAACTTACTTCTGGTGGTTCTTGTTCTACGTAAAAAGTGACAAAATAATAAATCATCCGAATGATGGGACCTATCTGGCGTAGGTTCTGTGTAAAATGTTACAAACAGAAGCATACCTTGGAAAATATTATCGCTGTGTTCCTCTAAGTTTTTTGATCTTGAACTAGAGGCGGTATCATCGCGATTATAATACTTTGGATTGTAAGTATTTTTGCAACTCCGTTGGCCAGTTTTTGGATCCGTGCTATACTCATAATGAATAGGCTTTCTTCTCTTTTTTCGCTTTTCTAAAATATCATTACCTTGCCTAATAAGACAATCCATGGAAGGGAGTTTCTTCTTGCGAGCATTGGCAGCCCTTTCAAAATTCTCCGCCATTGTGAAAGATTTGAGTTGGTTTTGACCCAGTTTCTTTCCGTTTCATAATGCTCGGCCACGCGTCGCGAAATTATTGTTTTAGTAATTTCGGATGTGTTTAAGAATTTATTGATATAATAAATTTAGAAGTGGAGCTCATGTTGATAAATGAATGTGAGCGTTTGGGTCCCAATAGACTTAAAAATAAGAAATTAGCATATAAACGTCCTACTGCAGACATTGTCATAACACCAACGGATAAAACTAAGCGATTAGTCGCACTTGATTCTAGTCAGTACGCCAATATGATTACAGAAAGTACTATTGGTACAGGAAAGTATGAGGAGAAGAAGAGATTGAATCTACCTAGAACTGAACAAATTCGATTCAATAAAGAATTAAATAAGATCGCCAACAAATACAAGACCAGTGATCCTGAATTGTATAAGCGGCTTAAACCATTAATCTGCAGTGAACCACTTCCCAGCCCTGTTCACTGTCTACCTAAGGATCATAAAGAGGGAACCTTGAAAGGGAGACCTATCCATTCAGCTACGGACACACCATCTACGCCCTTATCTAAGTTCTTAGTACATGCCCTAACACCATTACTCAATCATGTTGATGCCCATCTCAAGGATACGGAAGACTTTATAAGTTTTCTTAAATACATAGATGGGAAGGAAGTACAGGGCATCTGTAGCTTGGATGTTAAGAACGTGTATGGGTCTATTCCTTTAGAAGATGTGAATGACAATACACTAGGGGTATTTACAGTTGTGAAGAATTTTTTTGACGAACATAAGAATGATACATGTCTATCGAATTTAGATGTAAGAGATTTCGAAAAACTTTTGCGTTTATCCATCACTACCGATACTGTATTCATTCATGAGAAAGGATATCATCAGAAAAGTGGCCTAGCCATGGGAAACAACCTTGCACCTATGTTAGCTATTATTTACATGCACTCTTTAGACACACTTATAATTGAGAAGTCGGGAGGTTCTGTCTCACTGAAACGATACATTGATGATATATTTGCAGTACTACATTCCGACAGGATTAATGCTGACAAATTATTAGAGATATCCAATGATCTTAATGAAGCCATTAAATTTACATTGGAAAAGCCGAACAGCTCAAATGAATTACCGTTTCTGGACACTCTAATCAGCTTCGACCAAAACACGAAACAATTTAGAAGTGAATTGTATGTTAAACCCATTCATAGCGGTTCTATTACGTCTTGGGATAGCCATGGGCCTATTTCTTTTAAGCGGGCGTTAATCATCGGTGAAACCAAGAGAACGTTACGTTGTTCCATGGATCGTCCATCGAGAAATCGATCGTTAAAAAAGATAACCAAAACGTTTATACCAGCAACGGTTATCCCAGGAGATTTGTTAGAGCAATCATTAGGCGTACCGTCAGTACTACATCTCAAAAACAGGAAATGA